AATCGTTTCTCAGGCTCGCTTCTTGCTGGAAGACAGGTACCAGAAGGGTGGCCAGGGTGTGAATCAGGCAGGTGAGACACCAGGACTGAACTCTGACCCACACATCCCTCTGTCATTCATAGATTCATTTATTCAAGAAACACTTTCCTGAGCCTGGGAGGGGCCAGCTCCCTGAGCTAGTGGGCCCTGTGGATACAGAATTAGATAAGCCCATCCGGACCCTTAGAGAGTCACAGCCTGGGCCAGGACCCTCAATGTGGTGCAGATCCATGGGGGGTTATTTGTGCTGTGACAAGGGAATGCTGAGCGCGGTGGGGCACCCAGGAGGGAGTGTCGATTCTGTCTGGGACATGGGGGAAGGGTTCCTGCCTTTGGAAATATTTGCTGTGTGTCTTGAAGAGTAGGTAGGAGTGGACTGGGATGAAAAGTTAGGGAAAGGCAGGCAGGCAGGGGGACAGCGTAAGCAGAGGCCTGGAGGTGGAAACCTGCCTGGGCTGTCCCACTTTGGCTAAATGAGGCTCAAAGGTAGAGAGCCCTGGGTATCTGTTGGAAGGGGGACAGTGGGGGGCTTATTTCTGAGCTCTACTTGGGACCCAGGGAAGATCCAGGTTTTGTGGGGCCTGATGTTTATGTGGTTTTGAGGCATTCTTAGAAAAAGAATACGAAATTAGGTCGAAGGGCTTAGAAGGGTCCGTGCAAGTGAGAGCCTGAAGCTTAGCTTGGCATCTTCTTGAGGACTCCCTGCCTTCCCCGGGGGACATCTCTTTCACAGTTTCCCTGCTTGCCTTTCGCACTCTGGCTTGCCCTCAGTAGCTCCCCACTGGCAGCAAACTGCTTTCTCCTCTTATTCCCGTCTCTCTCTTTTTTGGGTCCCCTGGTCCCCCATGCAGCCGCAGAAGGCTGGCCTCAGGAGACCAGAGTCTAGGGTTTCTTTTGGAGAAAGTGAGGCAGAGCTGCACAGCTGGGGCTGGGGAGGTGGGTGGAGATAACCTTTACATTGAATCTATGCAAATAGCACCGCCCCCCAATTGTTCCAAGAGATGCCTTTGAATCTATCTGACCAGCGACTCATGTTAACGCTTTTAACAGCGCAGGAGTGTGGAGGGTTTTCCCGTTTGCCAAGCACTTTTCACACCTCTCATGTCCTCTGCACATATCCCAGTGAGGTAGGCAATACTGTTCTCTCCATAGAAGGGTCCTGATTGGTCCCTGGATGCCTGGCAGGTGACACCTCACACCCAGTTCTTTCCCTGCTTTACTCTGTTTCTCTTGTTCACAATCAGCCCAACAATAATGAAACCAAGATTGGCCCGCTTGGGCACCTGCGTAGGGAAATGAGTCACCATAGAGGTGAAAGCACAGATGAATGAGACAGCTGGCTCTGGCATTGTCCCCTCCCTGCAGTGTGTTTTGATGGTAAGGGTATGCATTGGTGGCATGGAGCTGGCAACCCCCTGACTCTGTCTGTGCCAGGGTGAGAGTTCTCACCTTTACCCCCTTCCTGGGCCGCTGGGAGAGCTCTCACCTGGGTAAAACCTCGATATCAGGCTGTCACTGGTGCAATGGATCGCTGAGACTCAGCACTGCTTTGCAATATCTTTGGGGTGTTTGAGATCTCAGCCAGGGCAGAGGGAGGAGAGGGGTGGCCACCCCTGCGAATTCCAGCAGCCTTTAACTGAGGAGTACTGACCCCTCACTTGTGTTAGACACCGTGCTAGCCCCGGGAGGGTGGAGCAGAATCAGGCGTGACTTTGTGCTTTCAGCTCACTTGAACTTCCACAGTGGCACCTGTGTGCCAGGCACTAACCAGGCTGCGGGAGCCGTGTGCCTGAGAATGGAACAGATGTCTCAGTCTGTTTCGGGATGTCAGCCTCCCCATGAACCCCTAGAGGGCATTGCAAGGTATAACATGGACTGTACTAATTGGGTAAGACACCTTCTCCGCTTCTTGTGCCTGCGCTTGAGTAAAAGGCGGAGCCTCCAACCTCCAGGGGCCCTTTGGCCCTTTCTCGGCTCTGGATTTGGGCAAAGAGGTGAGCCTGCTGCTTCCTCCCTTATTCATCCCCACGGAAGCCCAGAGAAAACTCCTCACCCTCTCCCACCTCATGAAATAACAAGGTTCAGAAATGGAAGAGTGGAATGAATGAAAGCATCTTTCCTGCTTCCAGAGAAGCACTTTTGCAGACTTAGAGGAAGCAGGACAGGACGGGATGTATTGGGGGAGGTTGGTGGAGCCATTTCTTCCAAAGGGTGCACTAAGGTTTGGGAGTCTGTGGTCTGGGGTCCAGTAAGCATCCAGGTACCTGGGTTGACAGGAAGGAGAGAGAGCGGAGCCATCCAAGCAGTCAGGTGTTTTTAGATGCTTCAAGGACAAGTTAAAAACAAAACAAACCAGAGCCTCTCCACGTGCAACCAATCAAAGGGGGCCTGATTCATCCTATTTTCTGCAACCTTCCCACATCAGCCTGTGTTGGTCAGGAGGAAGCAAGGGGCAGGGGTTGGAGGAGTTTGGGTGAGATGGCGGCTGTAAGGCAGGAGGAGCTGGGGGTGCTCGGAAGGGGTGCCTGCCAGTGGTTTCCGCTCCACCCTCCTCCCTGAGGTCTGGCGGGGATCAACAGAAGAGTCAAAGAGTGAAAGCCACGTTGGCTTTGAACTCCCCAGCGGCCGCAGGAGTCTGCAGGTGGCAAGGGCGATTCATGGTTGGCGTGGGTGACTGCACCTGGGCTGTGACTTCAGCCCACCTAAGCAGAAGTCTGTCTTTGAGTGGGGTCCTCAGCATGGGTTCCCTAGCTGGCACCCTCTCCTTGCAGGCCTTGGAGCTCAGGGGGCCTGTGGGGCTACCCTGCGTGTGGGATGTTGCCTGGGCAAAGGAAGATGCTCTAGGATTCCTCAAAGCCCTTTCTTTCTTCCATAACCTCATGTGAGCTTTGCAACAGTGCCATGAGAGACACATCACTTGCAGATGCCTTCATTTTGTAGAAGATGAACTTGAAGGTCAGAGTGGCTCACGGAAGATCGTGTAGCTGATATGTGCTAGGGCTGGGGCTCCATCGCACCCCCCTCTGAAGGAAAGCCCTACACTCCTGCAGCTTGGCTCCATGCAATCAGCCAATGCAATTAGCCAAATGCAATTAGCACAAATCTTGTAGATCTGTGGCATGTAGACGCCACCATGGATGCTCGAGTGAGCTGAGAGCACAAAGTCGCCCCTGATTCGGCTCTGCCCTCCTGGAGCTGGCACAGTGCCTAGCGCAAGTGCTCTCAGACACTTTATGGAACTCCTGTACATCCACTCCCTGGAAGGAGCCCAGACCCCTTGGCACCCTCCAGGCCCCAGTAAATCCACTATAAGATGGGCTGGTTTGAACTCAGGAGCACAGGTTCCCCCGACCACGTCCCAACTGTTCTCCATCATCATTTAGTGCAGGAGGCACGGTTCACAGGGTGGAAGGATTAATGACAGCCCCAGGCCGGTGCAGTCAGGGGGTAACAGAGAAGTACTATCACTACCATCGCTAAATTTTTGTGATCATGCCTCCCATCAAACAACTTCAAATGTGCCCCCTGGTATCTATGTCTTTCTAAATTATACTTGCATTTACACTCAATATAATGACCTATAAACACACACATACAAATATAAAAAACACACAGTCTCCATTTTTTTTTTTTAAGTTTTTTGGCCAGGGCTGGATTTGAACCCACTACCTCTGGTATATGGGGCTGGTGCCTTACTCCTTGAGCCACAGGCGCCACTCAACACACACCTATAAATATAAATGAAGAAGGGCAAAGATGGAACAAACATGCAAGAATTTCAGCTTCCCTTCCCATTGCTCCCAGTGGGTGCTGGAAGTCCCCAGAAAGTGTTTCCCGTTCAGTGGTGGACATGCCCTGGCAAAAGTCATTTCCCTTCTCTGGCTCAGTGCGACATTGTCTCCTGTTGTTGCTGCTGGTGCCATGGCAGTGGCTACCCGGCTGAGGCCTGGTGAAGAGCTCTGGCCTCTGCCCACAACTGCTGCCCAGGGCCTGCCATCAGCATTCCCCGCCGCTGCTAACGCTTGTGCTTGCAAAGTCCTATGGGAAGCATGGTGAACATTTTAGCTTTTAGTTAACATTTTTTTGGTGGTGTTGCAAAAGTAGCAACTATGACTGTCGACAACATTGTTGCAGTTTTCATTTGCTCTTTTGGGTAGCACTTAAGCCCAGCTGCAGGGAGGAGGAAATAAGAAGGGGTAGATTCCCTCCTTTGTCGTCCTGGTGCAGGACCCATGACGCATCATTCCGTCAGGACCTGTCCTTCCCAGGAGACGTGTCCATCTCTTCTGGGACGGCCTGGCTCTTATTCACGTGTTCAGTCGAGAGCTGTGTTTTTTCCAGCCACTTGATGACCTTTGCCTCATTCCTGAGCTGCCTTGTTTACTTAACTATCTTTCTTCAATCTGACTCATTTTTAATAAATAACCTTTAACTCATCCTAAGAAATCCACCAAATTGAGATTCGGGCTAATTGCGTTTGGCTACATTTCTTCAAAATAGATGCATAACTTTGAAAACAAAAAAGAGTGGCCCCTGGGTACCTCTGTAATCCCCTTCTGTATCCAAGAGGTGTGTTCCCGTGCTGGGGGTGCTGACGTGAGGCATGGAGACAGAGTCCTTGTCTGGGTCCTACCTGAGCCCCAGAGGCACGTGTTTCTCCATAAGCCACTGGAAACACCCTGAGATGCGTCTGCACCCCACCCTCCCCAGGGCGCTGAAAGTGGTAGCCTGGAGCAGAGGTGGAGGGTCCCAGCGATTCTCCAGCCCGCAGAAATTATTTGTTTAGGCTGATGTAAAGGGACCTTTGCCTTGACTTCCTCAAGGTGTTTGCCTACAGATTATACTCAGACTGGAGCAGTGTCATCCATGGGGGTCGACTCTACACACTGAAGCCCTGTCTTCTCCATCGCTCCTAACCCTTAGTCTTTGGGCAGGACAGTGTGGGGTCTGGGTACTCCGCCATGGCCGTGAGTGGCTGTGGTGTACTACAGGAGCCTGCTCCTGGGTGACATCATGGCTGGACTGAGACACCACCAAGATTGGGTTCAGGAAGACCCAGGGGATGAACTGAGCTTCAGGGCGTTATCTTTCAAGAAGGCCCGAGAATGCCAACTCAGCGGTCCTGACCAGGGTTAGGGCTCAGTCTTCGTATATTTTCTGTGTTTCTTTTTCTCCCTATTATCCCACTGGGTTATCTCTCCCAAGGTCACCACCTTAGGGACTGGGGCAAACTGAGCCGCTGATTCACTCCTAAAGCTTACTTATTAGAGGAGGGGGCTCGTGTCTACTGAATGACCTTATCATGCTCAGGGAAGGAATAAAACTAAGTATTCTTGGGACTGGCAGCTACGAAGAAGTCTAACATGTTTGTTTATCTTGAATCCTTTACTCAAAACAATACACTTTCAAACCTAAGGATCTTTCAGTCTAAGCTCAAGCATATTCAGTATGACTCTCACCTTCCTCCTCAATGTGAGATAACCAGAAAGATTTTTTTCTCTGGGAAACTCCCTCTACTGACTTTGTGTAAATGGGCTTGGATGGAACCATTCCTCCGTCCTTTAGACCCATATGGTGTCAGTCTGGCTACAAAAGAACCCCCTAGGGAGCTTATTGAAAATTACAGATTCCTGGTGAGTTTGATGGGGGTAGGTCTAGAGTGGGTCATAGGTAGCTCCATTCTTGGAAAGGGGACACTGAAGGGTTTGGGAACACTTGTTCTATACCTGCCCCCTGACTTGCCTAATGGTAGTGGGCCCTTGGCTCAGACTCAAGCTGAGGTTCTTGATACACAGGGGAATGTCGAGAGTCAGGGCTGGGGAGTCAGGGAACTGATGTTAAGATTGCATTTCTGACACAGCCAGACACCAGAGCCTTCCTCCTAGTTCTTTATAAGCTCTATTATCTGAGTAAAGCTTGATATAGATCTTCCTGTGTGCTTTGGAAGGAGACTGACCATATGTCCATTTAATCAAAAGTGGTATCAGACCACTCAGAAAAAAGGGGCCCAATCCTGAGCCTTGCTTTCTGTTGGGGAAGATTGCAATCTGGCAGGGGGCTATATCTGCTCACCCTTATTCTTGCATGAAGACCAAAGCCAATCTTTTGAACTTCAGTACCTAGAGATTTACGTGGGCTTGTGGCTGGGAGCGAGCCTCCATTCCAAGAATGGGTGGGCAGTGATAGACCAATGAAAAGCTGACAACTTTCTTAAGTTCTAGAAAATTTCACGCTAAGTGAAGGAAAGTAACCTACTGAATATCTATCATGTGCCAGGAACCACATAACTCTCCTTTATGCATCTCACTTAACCTTCACCATGACCTTGTGAAATTAATATTTTAATCTCCATTTTGACCTAGGAGAGGATCGAAACTTAATCTTGCCCAAAGCAATGATATTTTACCCTCCAGATGGTCTGACTCCAATTCTCTTGCAATGATCACATACCACTGAAGCAAGAATTCTGATGGCCACGACTAAGACCTGCCTGAAATCTGCTGTCTGTTCGTGCTGTACACTGGATTGAAAGACTTAGAGCTGTGCTTGATCAAGGAGAAAGCAAGGTTAAAGTTTAGAGGGCAGAAAGCAAACCAATGTATCTGGTTTCAAAGAAGCAGATACTTGATCTTGTATTATGTGATTGGTTAACTTTCCTTAGGATTATTTTTTATGACACAAATATTTCTGTTGCAAAAGACAAAAATGGTACCTGTTTTTGACTTTTTAAAAAAATGGGAAATTTAGGCTGGGCAGGGTGGCTCACATCTGTAATCCTAGTGCTCTGGGAGGCCTGAGCTGATGGATTGCATGAGCTCAGGAGTTTGAGAAAAGCTTGAGCAAGAGTGAGATGCCCCCCCTCTACTTAAAACAGAAAAACTGTCTGGCATAGTGGTGGACACCTGTAGTCTCAGCTACTTGGGAGGCTGAGGCAAGAGGGTCACAAGCTATGTTGGCATGGCACTCTATCCAGGGTGATCTTTGCAAGATCTTTGCAAGCTGTAGGTCAGGTCATTGAAATGGCTTAAGTAAAACACTCAGCTCTGTAAAGGTAACAGCTGCATTTTTTTTTCAATCCTGACAGATTTCTCAGTCACTAAGACACTTTTTCTGGAACATGAGTAGATGGTAGATGGAGAGTATAGTCAGGGGAGATCCTTACCCTAACTGTAAGGATCTTGATGCCGCTCTACTGATTTTAAATGTTATATATTTGCAGGAAACCTGGAATGTATTTTTTTTTTTAATTGAGATTCATTGAGGGTACAAAGAATTAGGTTACAGTGTTGCATCTGTTAGGTAAAATGCCTCTTATAATTGTGTCCCACCTTCAAGAGGTGTGCCATACATCGTGACACCCTACCTCCTGCCCTCCCCCTCCCCATCCCTCATTCCCCCACCCCCACTATGTATCTACTGAGATCATCTACTGCCTTCATATTAGAATTGAGTGCATTATTGGATTCTTCTCCATTCTTGTGATGCTTTACTAAGAAGAATGTGCTCCACCTCCATCCAGGTTAATACAAAAGATGTAAAGTCTCCCATCTTTTTTAATGGCCAAATAGCATTCCATGGTGTACATATACCACAGCTTGTTAATCCATTCCCGGGTTGGTGGGCATTTAGGCTGACCTTATGGCGATTGTAAATTGAGGTGCGATAAACAGCCTAGTGCAAATGTCCTTATGATCAAAGGATTTTTTCTTTTGAGTAGATGTCCAGTAATGGGATTACAGGCTCAAATGGGAGGTCTAGTCTGAATTCTTTGAGGATTCTCCAAATCTCCTTCCAAAAAGGCTGTATTAGTTTGCAGTTCCACCAGCAGTGTAAAATGTTAGGAAACCTGGAATGTAAAAAATGCGTTTCAGTGCGTCTCTTCCAGCTTAAGGATTTCGGGATTTCTCCTCTTCAGCGGCAAGAGGGGATGCTTTAGAGCAATACAGGCTGACATTTTGATTTTTAATAGCCTTATTTAGATATGATTCACAGAGTATACAATTCACCCATCTGAAGTACATAATACAATGTTTTTTAGTATATTCACACATAGTACCAACACCCTCACAATTTTAGAACGTTTTTGTTACTTCAGTCCCCCCCATACCCTTTAGTTATAACCCTCCTCATCTTCCCATCCTACCCACCCCCCTAATAATCTACTTTTTAACTCTCTAGATTTCTCTACTGTGGATATTTCATATAAATGGAATCATATATAATACGTGGACTTTTGCATCTGGTTTCTTTCACATTTAGCACAGTGGTTCTCAACCTTCCTAATGCCTCCTAATGTTGTGACCCTTTAATATAGTTCCTTATGTTGTGGTGACCCCCAACCATAAAATTATTTTCGCTGCTACTTCATAACTGTCATTTTGCTACTGTTATGAATCGTCATGTAAATATCTGACAGGCAGGATGTATTTTTGTTGTTACAAAGGGGTCGCGACCCACAGGTTGAGAACTGCTGATTTAGCACGATGTTTTCAAGATTTATCCACATGGTAGCTTGTATTGGTTCTTCATTCCTTTTCATGGTCAAATAATATCCTCTTATATGGAAATACCATATTTTGTTTATCTGTTTGTGGATTCCTTAGGATTTTCTCCATATAAGATCGTCTCATCTGTGAATAGAGATATTTTCATTTCTTCTTTTCCAATCTAGATGCCTTTGATTTCTTTTTTCTTGCCTATTACCCTGGACAGAACCTCCAGTTGAATGGAAGTGGTGCAAATAGACGTCTTTCTCTCATTCCTGATCCTAGGAGGGAAGCATCAGCCTTTCATCATTAGGTATGGTGTCAGCTGTGGGGTCCCCACAAAAGCCTTTTATCAAGTTGAAGAAGTTCTCTTCTATTCCTAGTCTGTTGTTGTTATATCTGAAAGGGTGTTTGGTTCTATTAAATGCTTTTTCTGCAGCTACTGAGATGATCACGTGATTCAAAGTATTTTCTTGGGATGATGTATTAATGAACTGAACAACACTTTCACTGGAATGTATCTTGCTCTTGCGTGTTCTGAATCAAATTTTCCTAGAACCTGGTTTCCTAGAACGCTTAATCTGCAGATTGTTTCTTCCCTTGTTTCAGAGAAATTCTCTTGTATTCTCTTGGAAAACATTTCCTATTTAATATTTTGCGGTTCTTTACCTCAGTTGCTAATTTTCTTTAGTTGGGTTATCTTTGTCTGCCTCCCATAACCTTTGGCTTTTTTCTCTAATTGCTTTTCTTTGTGTTTTTCTTCCTTGTCCTCTGTGCTTATCTCAAGCTTTTTCTCTATCAGATTTTTTTCTTTGCAGTTTGGTGGGGCTGCGTTTGAACCTGCACCCCTGGGTATATGGGTCTGGCGCCTTCCTCACTGAGCCACAGGCGCCCCCCTGCATCAGACTTTAATGATGTCTGTTCTATCCTACTTCTTGCTATTTCTCTTGAATGTATTATCTCCATAATGTTATTTTTTTGGTCCTTAATTTGTTTCCTTAATTTTTCTTTTCCTATAACCATATCTTGTTTTAACACGTTTTATTAAGTGGTTCTAGAGGGTAAAGCAATTTTTAGAAATTTTCTTCTATTTCTTGAGTAATATTTTATTCTAGGTCAGGCTCTTTCGTCCCTCTTTTGAATCTGGTTTTATTTACTTATGTTATACTTTCCTTGTGTGGTTGCTATGTCATTTGGGTGGCTACTTCCAGACATTCTGTTCGCCTGACATATTGATGACTGTTCTTCTGTATCTTGATTCTATTTTTGATTCTAATTTCTTCTTCTTCTTCTTTCTCCTCCTCTTCCCGCTCCTTCCCTCCTCCTCCTCCTTCCTCTCCTCACCTCCCTGTTCTTCCTTCTCCTTCCCCAGCCTCCTACTTGATCTCTTCACATTACTTCGTTCTTAGATTCTTTTCCTCATTGTCTAATTCTAACATCCTTGTCAGTCCTGGGTTGGTTTCAATTGATTAATTAACCTCCTCATTATGAGTCATTTTTTCCTCTTTCTTTGGATGCCTGGCAGTATTTGATTGGCGGTAGACATTGTGAATTTCACCTTGCTGTGTCCTGGATATTTTTGTTTGCCTGTAAATATTTTGGAAGTCAGTGAAGCTGCTTGGAAACAGCTTGATGCCTTTTGATCTTCCTTTTATAATTTGTTAGGTGGGTCCAGACAGTGCTCAGTCTAGGGCTAATTGTTCCCCACCACTGATGCAAGACATTCCTAAATTCCCTATCCAATAACCTCTAATTTACAAGTTTTTTTCTGTTTGCCTTATGGGATTAGGTACTCTTATTAGCCCTATTTGAATACTGGACATTGTTTTCCACTAATTCTTTCCAATTATGTTTCTAGCCTCAAGTAGTTTCTTCACATACCTGCATTGATCCATTACTGAATACTTGGGGAGGCTCCTCCGTAGACCACTGGGTTTCACACTCTATATATACACCTCTCACTTCTGTCCTGTGAGCACTAAATGCCTTGGAATTACTTATTTGTATATTTTGTATTTTTACTACCATCCAAACCTAAGTATTTTCTAATTTTCCTTGTGATATCATCTTTTACCCATGATGTATTTAGAACTGTGTTGTTAAATTTTCAACTATTGGGGAATTTTCCAGATATGTTTTTGTTTTTCATTTCTAATATAAGTTTGTAGTCAGGGCACATACTCTATATAATTTTAATTTTTAAAAACTTATCAAGACTTGTTTTATGATTTCGCATATGTCCTGTATTCTTGATTATTCCACGTATACTTGAAAACAAGGTGCATTCAGGAGTTGGTGTTTTACTGGGTCAAGTTGTCTGATAATGTTTGTGTCCTCTATGTCCCTACTGACTTCCTGTCCTATCAATTACATATACAGAATAGTTGAATTCTCCAATAAGAATTATGAATTTTTTTTGTTTTTCTTTCAGTTCTATTTTTCCTCTCATATTTTAAAGCCATATAATGAAGTATCCTCTTGATGAATTGGCCCTTTTATCATTATGAAATATCTTCTTTATCCTTGGTAATATTTCTTGTTTTAAAACTTATGTGAAGTAAATATAGCCACCTCAATTTCATTTTGATTAGTTTTTCATGGTATCGTTATTTATGCTTTTATTTTTAATTTACATGTGACTGTGATATGAGAAAGATACATATGTACATATTATAAGCAATAGAACAACCCATAAAAATATAGGAAAGACATGTAACAAATAATGTAAAATTAAATGATATAATGGACAAATAATTAGACATTTAAAGAATTAAATTGAAATTCTGGAAATAAAAATTGAATTAAAACACAAAAGATGGTTTAATAGATTAGATGCAGCTGAAGATAGAATTAGTCAACTAGAAGCTAGGTCAGAAATATAGCTAAGAGTGAAGCTTAGCATGACAAAAATATGAAAAGTGAAAAAACAATATTATTGTTAAGCTTTTAAACTGAATTTCTGATAACATTCAGATGCTTTACCTTCTACAAAATGAACTTCCAAAAGCTGTACTTTGACTTTGTGAATTTTGACTTTCGACTTCCAAAAGCTGTACTTTGACTTTGTGAATTAGATGAAAATATTGAGCCAGTACTGAAATTAACTGTTACTCTCGTCTTATAAAGATTATCAACCATAATCTAACCAACATCTATCTTAATAAACAGTAAAAAGACAAATACCTTACCCCTTATATTTGGAAACTAAAAAGGCACTGCCAAAAAACTATGTGTTAAAGAGAAAATACTTGTGAAAATTATGGCACATTTAGATCAAAGGTAAAAATATTACATTAAAGTGATGTTTAGGGTAAATTTAGAGTATCAAATAGGTAAATCAAAATGCATTATACTGGAAGCTGTAACCAACACAAGAAAACATGAAAAACTAAATGAGATGTGTAAGAATACAAAGTAGGAGACCAAATTGCCTTTGTTTGAGGATAATATGATATCCTGCATATCCAAGGAAGACCACCAGAAAACATTCAGAACAAGAATTCAGCAATATTGCTACATGTAAGACCAACATACACAAAACTCCCATTCACAGTTGTAACAACATTAGGAAGAAATCTAACTGGGGGAGAAATTTTAAGAGGAGAAATTATAAAATGCATTATAGCCTATAAAAAGAGACTTAAAGTAAATGAAAGTATATGCCATATTTATAAATTTGGTATATACAACTATACCAGTTTTACCCAAGTAAAGCTATAAATCCATTGCAATCTCAGTCAAAATTCTAATGGAAATTTTCACTGACTTTGAAAAATGAATTCCCAAATTCACAAGGGACAGCAAGGTATGCAGAATAACTAATAAGTTTATGAAGGAGAGTCAGGTGGAGTGTTTCTTTTTCCAGCTTTCAAGATTTATGATGGCAGAGTATTCAAGATAATGTAACAGTGATATAAAGATAGACATTTAGATCAGTGAAGACAGTGGAGAGCCCAGAAAAAGGCAAGTGCTACATACTTCATTGCTGAATCTCACTACAGTCACCGTCAAAGTACTCCCCACAGGAAGCTATGCACTGATGCCAGCACCTAGTCCACCTTTCAAAGCAATTCTGGAACTCTTTTTTCTGGAATGGCCCATCAAAGCTATTGTCATATTACCCTTGCCATCCTGAATATCATCAAAATGTTTTCCTTTCAATATTTCATTTATCTTCTGATAAAGAAAAAAGTCATTAGATGCCAGATCAAGTGAGTCAGTAGGAAGTTCCAATATAATTATTACTTTTTTGGAGAAAGTTTCACTTTGTTACCCGTGGTAGAGTGTCATGGTGTTGTAGCTCACAGCATCCTCAAACTCATGGGCTTAAGTGATCCTTTCATCTCAGCCTACCCAGTAGCTGGAACTACAGGCACCCTCCATAACACTAGGCTAATTTTTTAAAGACTGAGGTCTCACTCTGGCTCAGGTTGGTCTTGAACTTGTGAACTCAGGCAATCCACCTGCCTTGGCCTCCCAGAGTGTTAGGATTACAGGTGTGAGCCACCATGCCTGGCCCTGAGCTGGTACATTATTGTGAAGCAAGAGCCATGAGTTGCTGGCCAAGATTTTCAGTTAAGATTTTCCTGTTTCTCTATCAATGTTTACTTGGTCTGCTATGCTTCTCGCAGTCAGCCAACAATTTTGGTGATGCAAAATTTGAATTTTTGCAAAGTTTTCATCAGTTCTGCTTGATATCATCCACCTTGACCTCTCTTCATCAGTGATACCTTCTCTTCCTTCAGAAAAATGTTTAATCTGTCTTCTTCATGGTATTAGCCCCATAACTTGGACTAACATGTCTCTGATTCTACCTCCACTCTTGCTAACTTCAACGAGAAATATGAATGTTTGTTCATTGCTCTATTTCAAGCTCTTACATTCTTGTGATGGCACAAATAAACGTGCAACAACAATGAATGCCACTCAGTAAGGCATCACCACTTGTCAACATGAACAACCCGTGAGACACTGTAAAACCTTACAGTTTTTGTGAAACTTTTGTGTAAGGTTGTGAAACCTTACCGTGTTGCTTGTACAGACAGTGCTGCCAATGTAAGTGTACGGTGGCAAGTTTCTGAAGTTAATTGTCAGACCTCATATGTAAAACTTGACACATGAAATCAGCAGCAGTGAAGATCACTGAGGGAAAGAATAGAAAACTAATTTGACATGTAAAAATTATGGAAATGACATATGAAAAAATGTATTTCAGGGAGATTGAACTATAAAAAACAAAACTTTAAAACTTCCAGAAAATTAAAGCGTATATCTTGGAGTAGAGATACATTTCTTAAATATGATTTTTTTAAACTAAAAATATAAAATTTCATTACAATAAATGTTAAAATTCTCTTCAAAAACAGATACCATAAGCAAAATTAAAGACAGGCCATAGCCAAAGACTTTGGGGTACCCCTTTGCAGATTTCTGGGAATCTTTGTTAAGCTCCCTCCTCTCTGGTATTTTGTCCCATATGTTCTAGCTGCCTTAGCCTTCCTGAGTTCTGTATTCTACTCCTCAAGTTTAGATTGCTGGGCTCTCTCTGAGTTCTCCCTTACTGTACTGGGACTTGGAAACTGACCCAGACAATAAGCGGGGCCATTCTAGAACACACCTCATTTATTTGCTTCATTCAGGGATCACTGTTCTGTACTACCTTGGTCCACTGTTTTACTTATTTTGTTTGGTTTTCTACTTATTTAAGATGGGAGAGTAAATCTAGTCCCTCTGATTCCACCATGGCTAGAAGCGGAAGTGATTCTAATACCATTTTTCAGAAGTTTAAAAACACGTAAAACAATGCCTTTATATATATGTTCAAAATAATCCACTTGGCCATCTGGTGGCCACAGTGGCGTTCAGCAACGGAGTATGTAACCCTTTTTCTAGGATGAGTTTATGAACTTAATGGTCTGTACACACATAAACACATGTAATGTATAGAAAAATATGAAGTGATGATATAAAAGTGCATAGAAAAGATGAACAGCAAATTTGGAAAAGTAGTTACTTTTTTGGTAAGTGAAGAATGGTATCAGTGATACTGTGTTTCCCCCGGAATAAGACACTGTCTTATATGTATTTTTTCTCAAGAAGACACACTAGGGCTTATTTTCAGGGGATGTCTTATTTTTATCAAGTATAATACAACAATCTACATTTATTCAAATACAGTTAAGTCATCCTCTTCTGGAACCTGATAGGGGGAGCCGACCCTATTGGTGGGGCTGGCACTAGTATTACATGAACTCCTTTCCCCTAGCTGTTTGCACATGTGCAATAGGATGCCTGCGACCCTGATTACCACACGTGCACCTGTGCAAGTGTGAACAGCTTGGAGAAAGGAGCTGTGGCAGGTAAAAGATATTCCAGTCTTCCTTACTCCTCCACAGGGAAATGTATCTGCATAGCCACGCCCATCACTAGGTCTTATTATCAGGGTAGGGCTTATATTTAACAAATGCATAGAAATCCTGCTAGGGCTTATTTTTTGGGTAGGTCTTATTTTCGGGGAAACATGGTACTTCCATGAATCAGAGTGGTTAATACTTACAGAGCACTGGGAGTGTACTGTGCCATTTTCTAAGTCCCTTGCACATATGGCCTTAGTAGAGTTAATACTTCAATATATAACACAGATTCAGAGGCAAGAATAACAAATTGGCACATTTACAATTACATGAGGGGACATTAAAATTGTCAATCATTTGTTTTGGAATATAACAAATATGTGAACACAAAAAAGGTTAATAACTTCCCTGGAAAAATTGATGAGGAATGTGGATAGATACATGGGCAATATTTTACTGAGCAACAGAGACTCTGCGTTATTTTCAAGTATCACAAATTATTGAGAATTGCAAGGTTTTCAGTTCTGAATAAGTTAGTCATGTCATGAGAGCAGAAATCAAACGCACTTAGAGGGAGAGACAGGGAAGGCTACTCTGAAACTGAGCTACTTTATGATAAAGATACAACTTTAGAATTCTTTGAAGGTTAATAATAGTAGGCACATGGCTATTCATCATGCTAGTTTATGTGCTTCTTGTATGTCAAGTATTTGATCATAAAAATGTAAAGTTTAAAAAGGACACCAAATAAGGAATATCAAAGGAACATTCTAGAAAGACCAGACAGTAGAAGAGAGTAATTCAGTGTTTCTGCAGGCTGCCTAAGTCAGAAGCCAGACCCCTGTTGAGGGTGGAGCTAAATAGTAGCAAACAGACATGGCGGCATCTTGCCTCATCTCTGGATCTCTGAAGACCTGTGATTTCCCTGCTGGTGCCTTCTTATTGGCATTTTCTACTCTTGGACAGACTCCTCTGTGATGAAACCCCTCGATCCCCCTACCAGCTTCCATGGATATCATCACCATGCTAACACCACATTGTGTTGAGTCACCTGTCCACCACTGGGTCACTACCTCCTAGGCTCATAGGTCACTGTCCCTCTCTGTCATTCACATAGATGCTCCTTCTTTGACCCTAGCCTCTTAGTTCTTTGCACTACTTTCCTCCAATGGCCATCACTTACTTGCTCTGCTACTGCAGTGGCCTCCTGACTGGTCCCCCTTCTCCATCATCATCCCCTACCCTGTTTAGTCTTAACATAGCAGACAGCTGAGACATTGGTTTATGCCCCTTCTCTGCTCAGAGCAGAGCAGAGACTCTGGTGACTCCCCAGCTCACTCAGAGGTAAAGCCCAACTCCCTTCCTTGCCTTCAAAGTACCACATCCTTTGGCTTCTGCTACCCCTTCCTGCCACTCTCTTGTGTGCTGTCCAGGGCTTCCTTGGCGCTCCTAGGCCCTGCAGGGCATTATCCTGCCTCAGCTGTGCCCACTGCTCCCTCTGCCTAGAACAGTTTTACTCTAGATGTCTTTCTCTCACCTCCATCACATCTTTGGTCCTCAACTGTCACAGTCTTCATGAAGCCTTCCTTGGCCACTTTATTTAAAACTATGTTTTCTATCTCTCTCTCCTTCTGCCAATTCCCTCCCCTGCCCAGTATGTATCACCTTCTAATATACTGGGATGTAACCTCTATGAGGACAGGGATTTTTGTCTGCTTTTATCTATTGCTGTAATACAAGTCCCTGAAACAGTTTCTTGCACAGAGAGGATACAGTTAAATTCCTTGCAGAACAACTGGGAGCTGCTTGGCCTTACATGAGGCCATTCTATTTTCCCCTTCTCCCTCCCAACCACCAATAGCTGCCTCTCATGAAGAACCTTCTAGTTCCCAGGGTTATTGCCTACATGCTCTTCTCTGCCAGCATTTAAACTGTTCTTGTGTTCTGGATTCTGGGGACAATAGCTGACTTCTGTGCTGGACTTTAGGATTGGATTTAGCTGTTAGCCTGGACCTCCCATAGTCCAGAACCATATCATCTTCTGGCTTTTTCTTTTTACTGGGTGCGTAGCTGAAGAGGATCTCAGGGAGTAAAACTGTAATTATATTGGCTGGGTAGGCTACACTGCTGTAATAAACAGATCCAAACTAATCACGGCTGAAACAACAGAGGCTGCTTCTTGCTCACCTCTAGTCTAAGTAGTGTTCATGTCTATGGGTGGTTCTCCTCCATATTGTGATTCAGGGATCCAGGCTGCAGCTTTGCCATCTTCATTAGGTGGTTTTCAAGTTGCTTTGGCCACCATCATTCCAGTGGGCACTTAACTGTGAAGGGAGTTGAGAAGAACGGATTTAGGTGGACACATAGCTGCCTCCACACAGAAATATTGGTCATCTTTGTTATCATGGTCTATGAGGCATAGATCTCAGTTGATGAACTCATATTTGTAAGAAACTTAACTTTGCTTTTTCTAAAATCTAATTTCTATTTTCAGTATCAATCTGTCAAGAATTTTAATTTTCATAGCTTTGGGAATCATTCTGCCCAATTTTCTGGGGGATGTTAAAAAGTGGGTATTTTTTGCAGTCATCTGCTCACACTGGTGCCTATTGTCATGGCCATCACCCTGGTACCCATGGCCATGGCCATTATCTGGACTGGGCTTTGAGCATTAGTTATGTAGGGTGCTGCAGAGGTATCTCCACATTCTAGCAGTAGGGCTCTTCTAGCTCTGGAGGGGCTTTCTGTGACTTCCTGCCTCTCTTGGGGACACAGAAGCCATTTGGTTGCTCCAATGCCATGACAGGGCACAGCAACTCTTCAAGGCTGTCTGAAGCTCTGTTTGCTAAGGTGTTCCATGTGCTATGCCAATCTGGGCTCTTCTTGTCTTCTTGAAACTCAGCCCAGCTCTCAGATTTCACAACTCTATCTGGAAATTCTATTGCATTTCTAGGGCTCAGTTTTGGAGCAGGGAACAAAGCTCCTCTCTTTGGACCCACTCACACTCACATCTTTATAACCTGTACTTTTTCTTTAGATCTCTTATCTCTCCAAGCTGGAATTCTTTTTCCTTAATATGATAAGGAAGGTAAATTTTTCTCTTGTTCATCTGTCTATGCTCCATTTCTCTAACGGTCTGGGCTTTTGAAACTTTATAAATGGGAAGCGTCCCCTTGTCCTTGCGTTTGGTTATCACATTCTTTTTCACTGAGTAGAGAATAACTTGGCTGCTTTAATGGGAAGAAGAACCCAGGGGCATGGCAGGGGAACAGGCTTGGGTGGGAGGAGAACTGTGAAATATTTTAAAAATACAGTTGCTCTATTTGGTAATAATAACAACAATAATAGTATAATTAACATCTTTTGAGCGCTCAGTTTCTGCCAGGTCCTCTCCTCATGTTCTTTATGTGTGACATTTCCATTAATCATCACAACAAATCTGTGTGTATTTATTATGAGTCTTATTTTCTATCAGAAGTTGAAGTTTAGCAAGGTAAAAGGACTGGTATGGGTCCCACACTTTGAAAGGGATGGAGCTGGGCTTTGAAGGTTATCCTGAACCCAAAATCTGAGTTCCACCATCGCACCTCCTGGCATCTTGGTACAAACCCTTGAGCTTCAGGCCAATAGGTCATGGAGATGAGGAGTCATTCTATTCTGTCCTTCCACACTCCCGCCTTTTTTCTTTCCCTGCCCTGGCAGAGGAGGGTTGTCTCTAGGACCTCTCTGCTTTGGCTCAGATCGTCTCTTCTTCTTGCAGGTTTCTGATCTCTCTCAATTTGACTTTAAATAAAATATAAATTTAGCTAAGAGCTCGTACCACAAAAAGGGAAGAAGTGGTACTTAGAAACAGAGCCCCAGTTTACTCTGCTGGGTACATGAGCTTTCCTGGGGTCTGTGCTCCTGGGGGGTCTCCAGGCCTCTCCACCAGGTTCATGGTGAGGCTGGACCTCCCTAACTCTTCCCCAGGTGAGCAGAGCTTTTGCCACGTAGAATGCCTATGGCCCTAGGAAGGCCTCCCAGCTTCAAACTATTAATATTTCTGTTATGAGAGGACTATTCCTTTGGATGAACAAGCTCCAAACATGGGATGGCCTTACTCTACTACTTCAGGGTTCTCATCTTCCTGTAGCTGGGCTGAATCACCTGGCCCAGATCAAGACTCCCAGGGGACAATCATTTTGGTGGGTAATGTCCAGGGAGGAGAGGAGATGTGGAATTTGGCACAGGTCAGCACGTGGGGGCTGTGGCAGGACTGAGCTGTATGTCTCTCTGCAGGTGAGGACTCCATCAGCACCTTGGGCCTGATCCTCGGTGTGGGACTGTCACTGCTGCTCGTGTCCATCCTTGGCTATAGCTTGGCCAAGTGGTACCAGCGTGGGTACTGCTGGGAGGGTGAGTGAGCACTGGGGCTTGTCACCTCAGCTCTGCCCAGCCCCTCCTCTCCCGCAGCATTTGGCAAGGACAGATGGGGCTGTCAACTCTTCAGCATGGTGGCATGCAAACATGTTTCCTGTGGTGGCCACGGTGGTTGAAGACTTGAGTGGGTGTCTGAACGGTTTGAGGTGACAAGGGTGGGGTGGTGAGACCTTTATTGAGGGATTGGAGGCTCTTCCCACCCTAGAAAGCAGCCTGCATCCTCAGACCCCATGGAAGTCCATCCCTGGGCCTGTGTGGGCCTCCAAGGCCAAGAGAGATGGGCTCCATGGGCCAAGTTCCAGGTGGCCCCAGTCTAGGCCCTTGTGCATCTCTGGTCTCTATCTGTGGTTCTGGAGGTTCTCCCTAAGCCAGTTGATTTTTCAGGCTTACTGGCAGTCTCCTAGAATTTGCTGTGCTCACCTCAATTCTGAGATATACAGGGTGGCCATAAAGTTTGTGTGCCATTTAAATTTAAACATACTTTATGGCCACTCTTATTACAGCTACACTCTTCATGGGGTCTGGGAAAGCTGGACATACTAGATACACAGGTGGCCATAAAGTTCATGTGCAATTTAAATTTAAATGACCTTTATGGCCACCCTGTATTATAGCTGCACTCTTCATGGGGCCTGGAAGGGCACTAGAAAGTGAGAGGTAGGGAAAATCTCCCAGATATGCCTTTACATTTAACAGATTCCATGAATATTTCTTGAGCACCTGCGCTATGCCAAAGCACTTTTGCCTCATATGATTTTCTTTAAAATTCCGTGTGAGGAAGAAGTTAGAACCTTCATTTTTAATAGATGGGACATAAGACAAAAGTTAGAGGAACTAGACTCAAGACTTGGTCTGGTTCTTTTGGGCTCTGTGCTAGGACTGCCTCCATTTAGTGAGTCATCGGGGCTCTTAATGGGAGGGCTCTGAATGTGAAACTCAGGACCTTCCCACAGCATCCCAACACCCGGGCCCAGCCACCCTGCTCCTCCAGACAAGGGTGAAGGAGAACCAGATGTTCTTGGAAGGGTGATGGGCAGCTTTCTCTGGTGCTTAACTGTCTCTTTTTGGATTGTCTTTTTAGGGCCTAATTTTGTCTTCAACTTATACCAAATTCGGTGAGTAAACCCAGGGCAGATCTGGGTGGGGGCTGGAGGTTAGAACATATGGCTTTTCTTCCCTGTCTCCTCTCCTTGCCCCTAAACAAGCAAGGGGTGGGGACTGAGAATCCATCTAGAAAAGTTCCATGAGCAAAACTTGCACATAGACAGGATATGTGAGACCCCTATGACGGTGATCCTCGTAACATTCACTCTTCGGCAGGTAACATCCACCCATCCACCCACCCACCCACCCATTGATCTACCCAATCACCCATCCATCCATCTATCCATCCACTAACTCATCTATTCATCTACCAACCCATCCATCTCCCCATCCATCCACCCACCTATCCATCTATCCATTCATCATTTATTCAGAATGGTTCTATTGTAGCCAGTATTGTTGCATTAGTACAAAGGTGACTAGACATAGTCTCTGTCTTTAAGCATGTCACTGTCTATGCTGGAGATAGGCTTGATTATAAACAATGCAATCGCAGGTACAGTACAGTGTCAGAAAAGAAGAGTATATGAAGAAAGTCAGGGATTCAGGGACTGGGAGTCAGAATGTCCTCTTGGGGCAAGTCATCTTGTCTATTGCCTGCTACAGGGCAGGCCTATTCCTCCTTTGGGCTTGAGAGGTGGAGTAAGTCCTATTCTGGAAGTTAAGTCAGTGAATCAGTGACCTGGAGATTGCCCCACTGCCAGGAATTTCTTCTGATATTCTAGTCTAGGGAGATGGGGTCTCAGGGGTGGCTGGACATTCAGCCCCAATAGCTTGATTGGATCATCTTTCTCAGGAACCTGAAGGAGCTGGAGATAGGTCCCCCCTTCACCATCAGTGGCCACGTCAGCAGCCCAGAGGGTGGCTACATGAAGTTCTCTCATGGGGTAGTTTGATGGAGACAGCATCAGGCTTCAGGAGCCCTGGAGAGGTGAGTGGGAAGGTTGCAGATCACCCGAGTAAGCCTGATGCCCAAGTGAAGATCTATAAGGGGCCAGGTACCCGGTCCTGGTACCAAAGAGATAATTTGGCCCATCTCCTGCCTCTGGTGCTGATCTCAGGAATAAAGGCCTAGGGTCATGTTGTCCCCATGTCCTTCCAGCACTGGGCCTGCTCCATTTCTGCTTGTCCACCTAATTCATGCCCTGGATTAGGAAGGAATCTTTCCTTCCTGGAGAGATTCTGTTTCTATTCGGATGGAAGCTTCTAGAGCAGAGCTTTTTAACTTAACCATTTGCTCTCAGGTGAAGTTTCCAGATGGCCAGTCTCTCTAAGAAACATCAGTCTGGTGCTGCAGTGGAACTTTCTAAGCCCAGGAGCCTTCCCTGCTTTGTGGCCAACTAACCTTTTGGCCACACCTCTCCCCTGTATTCTGGCCTATCCCTCTCCATCTCAATTTGTGTTTTCTCACCTAAACCTTTTCTCCCTCTAGTGGTCCTGCATGGCCCCTTGGTTTCCCATTGGTCCCCTCCCACCCCCAGCTTCTCTCTGTGTGTGTCCTCTCTGCCCCTCTCTCTAAGAAAGGGCTTGGCTGGATGAGATGGTTTAGAACTATGATTTTCAACTGGTGTTCCATGAAAAATCTTAAAGATCATTAATTAAATTATTTTCAAAAGAAGTTCAAAGCATAGTAAGTATATCTTTTCTACTCTCTCTTTTTTTTTCTTTTTGGTCCATATAATTTAAGTGTGCTGTGGACGTTTAACTATAGGTTCAAGTATGCCGTGAAATAAAAAGGTTGAAAAATGCTGGCGAGGGATCTTTCCCAAGCCTTGTCTTTTCTCATCTTCCCTTCTTCCTCTGCTGCAGGGAGAGGCTCCTGACTCCACACTGGCCCCTCCTGGGCTCCCCTGGGCTGCCCTCATCCCCCTGGATCTTCAAGGCCTGGCTTTGCTCCTGATGGTGGAGAATGAGGGGATCTTCTCTGGATTCACCATCTGCCTGCATCATGAGAGTTCTGGGGAGAATTCAGCTTTTGGGGACAGAGTCTGGCTGGGCAGCAGCGGCTTTCTCAGAAACAAAAGAGGCAGCCATTCCTCAGGACTGGATCCCAGGAAGCCCCGCACCTAGTGGGAGGAGTTGCAGGTGTCCTGGACAGCCAACCCCTGCCAGCAACAGCCCAGTGTGGGCAGGGCCCCTGCACACCAGAGGGGAGCTGCTTCATCAGGGTTTCTGATCACTTCCCCTTGCAGGGCTGACACCAGGGGCTGGAAATCCAGCCACATCTTAGGCAATTCCAGCTGTGGTTTTAACCTTCCCACCAGGGGGTGGCTTCCCTGAAGGCTAGGCCTGGGCCTGTACCCTGCCCTGGCTCACAATGTGCCTGATCCTGGCACTTAAACCCTACTCCCACCCACTTCCTGCCTCCTACCCCTCACCCCTGTCACCAACTGGCTGACAGTACTCTGCCTCCCAAACACAATCAGCTCCCCATCTTGATGTGCAGTGCTGAGAACAGCACGTTCTTGCGTCCATGCTCCTATGCTGGGGTGGGCACGGAGGCGTGGGGGAGCACGTCTCACATTGCTCTGTGTCTCTTGTGCAAAGCCTGCCTTGGGAGGTGGAAAAGGACCAGAAATGGTGGGAGTGGGGACAGGAACCCAGGCCAGGCTGACCAAACCAGACACTGCATGAGGGAAACCAAGAATGGAGTGCATGCAGCTTGGTGACAGCAGCATAACGTCCCTTGTGAGTCCTGGCACCGTCCCCTGAGAGTGCCTGCTGGACTGCAGTGGGGGCAGGGAGGGGGGTTGCACCGAGCATCAGCTCAGTAGGTGCTTAATATGGAGCTGTTCCATCCAGAGAGGCTGAGTTACCTGGGCTGCAATGGATGGAGAAGGGCACGAGGGGGACCTGCTGGCTGCTGGGTGCTGCAGTTACAACTGCCATTCACCAGCCCCCCTGCCAGTGTCCCAGCAGCAAAGCCACCAGATGCAGGAGCCCAGGGCAGTGATTAGGGAGGAGGAGGAAAGTCGTGACTCTTCGGCCTATCCTCCCTTTCCTGAGGCCTGTCTCTCTTGCTTTGGGTCCTGGCAGACACAGGAAGGAGAGGAGCCATACCAGCCCCCACCGCATTTCCTGCCAGGCTCTGGGTTAATAAACCAAGCCTCTGGATTGATGGGTCTCTAACTGGGTCTTCTATCCCCGAGTCGGTGGGAGTAGGGAAGAGCCCTTAATGACTCGGGATCTCCCCTTTTCTAAAGGACTCTTGGAAGAGGTGGATGGTGGGGGGATGGATTGATTTGACTTTCTTCTTCCTTGGATTTCAGCTCTGAGAAGGGGGCCCCCTTTCTTAACCCATGGGGTGTCCAGCCCCCAATAAAACTCTTGACTGTGTCCTGCTCAGCATGGGTTCTGGGTCGGCAGTCCATGCTGGGCCACCCCAGGGGGCTGGAAGTGCTCAGGACCCAACAGCCTTGGGGAAACTTGAAAGGGGGATGGAGCCCGGGATCCATCTGGCCCTGGCTCCGGCCCCAGATCTGTTGGCTTCAGGTGAGGAGATGGAGACAGCTGCCAAGGGCTGGGAGAACAGAGGGTATTTCCCATCCTCAGGAGCAGAACTGATACTGGGCTACTTCCCCTTTCAGGGCCCTCTGACGTGCTCTGTCTTTTTTGCCTCCCCCTTGGTTTCCTTACTTCCGTAGGCCACTGGCTAGTACAGCTTCCTTCACCCTGGGGCCTCAGGCCCATCCTTGGCCTCTACATGTTTTTAGTGACGGCCCTAAAGTGGCAGATTCTGGCTTGTTTAGAAATGCTTAAGGAACAAACAGATGCTTAGAAACCCAGCCACGGGACTGGTTGGGCCAGTCACTGGCTGGGCCTGACACTGGGCCCCTAGACCCACAGGCATGCCAGGGCCTCTTCCGGAGCCTCCCTCTCCTCCTCTTTCCATTCTTTATTCCACCAAGGGCCCAGAGACAGTCACGGGAGCCAGTAGTTCTCGGGTCTGGCCACGCCAGTTCCTCTGCAACCCTATTTATTCCTCTTTGGTGCCTTTGCTGGGCCTCCCCTCCTGGCCACATTTAGTCTCCATGGTGTGTCCAAGTCCCATCTTTCCCATGACTTCTCTCAGGGCTTGAGACCTGATGCCACCCATTTTGATCCTAATTGCAGGTGGCCATTTTTCCTCCATGGGTCATGTTTCTCGACCAGCCTAAGCCCTTTGTGAGCAAGGTTATGTTGCATAAGTCTCTAGTAACCCCAAATACTGCAGGATATAAGAAGTACTCAGTAAATGCTTACTAAGAAGACACTCCAGGCATGGACCCAGAACCCTGCTTTATTTTAGAAGAAGATGCCTGGGTGGCCTAAGGAGGAGCAGAAAGTGCTTGCATGGTACCCAGGCTACAGAGTACAAAGCACTTTTGTGCACATTACTGTGTTTTGAGCCTGTGGCAACCCTGTGATCGGCATTATTTTTACATCCTCTATTTTACATAGGAGGAGACTGAGGCTCAGAAAGGTAGCATGTTTTGCCCAAGGCTCCACAGCTGGCTTCTGGCTGCCCTGGAGCCTGAGTAGAGTCTGCAGCTTCACAGATGCAGCCTGACCTCAAGGCTTAAAGGGGTGAGGACTGAACAGTGTAGAATAAGGTGTGGTTCTGCCCCTGCCCTGCCATGCTGTGTGGCCACAGTCCACTCACTCTACTCTCTGGACATCTATTTCAACATCTGAAAATCAAAAGATTGGGCTATGTCTCCAAGGCTCCTCCTGGCTCCTACCTGTAGATAAACAAAGACCTTGCCTGTTTTTTTTTTTTTAAATCTGCATTTTCAGTGTTTAGCATATGACCTGGCACATAGTAGGTGTTCAATAAACAATCAAAAGATGCAAGGACAAAGTGTCACTATCACTTTCTAATTTAGGAGGTTGCAATTGAAAGGTGACTGCTGCAGTTCTAGACTCCAATGGTCTAGGATTCTAAATATGATTCATCCTTTCCTTGCCCAGGATCCAAGAGTGGGCCATTCCCACCCAAATCATTCTTTACCTGGAGGGAAAATCACAAATATTTGCTAAGCACACCTTGGTGCAGGGCAGGGGCTCTGTGTGTACAGCCTCCCTTCATCCTCACAGTCTCACAGGTGAGAGATCAGAAGTTCAGAATGTGGTGACATGATTTGCACAGGGCCAGACAACAATTTATTTTCTTTATAAACCTTTGGCAGCTGCCCTGAGATCTTTGGCCTCCCTCTCGTTGGTCTTTCATCCCCTTTGCAGGCCCCTTGGCCTGGTGAGAAGGGCTCGTCGAAGCCCAGGCCTCCCCAGGCTGCTCCATCCTCTGCTCTGAGCTTCTTTCTGACCCACTCCTTTCTTTTTCTTCTTTTTTACCTCCCCTGGAGCTCCAAATTATCAAATTTTGTCCATTCTCCATGCCAGCTCAAATATCACTTCTCCAGGGAGCCTTCTTCAAGACCTGGGGCTCTTGTTCTCTTCTGATTTTAATTACATGTCCCCTCTGGCTTCCACAACTTCGGGATTATTTCCTTGCGTTCATTTCTTCATTCATTCATGCCGGTTCTGTAATATGCGAGGAACCACGCTAGGTGCTCCAGGGCATCTAGTCTCTCTTAAGATCAGCCTTGCTCTCTCCTGTTTGGTGAGCACCTCTTGTAGGCAGAATCAGGTTTTATACCTCTTCTGAGTTCTATATAGTGCCTTGTGTGGCTCTGGCCACAGCTCAGAACTTCTCAGGAAATTATGTTGAAGGATTACTCAGTCCCCCCAGGTCATCCTGGGTGTTGCATCATCTCTGTTCCAATCCTGAGTGCTCTAAAAACCAGAACTTTTCTTTTCTCTCAATCTTTGATCATGTGATTTTTCTATCTAAGAGGTAACCTAAAGTTTTGATCGCAAAACTATGGCTAGGTTGGGAGGTGAAGAGGGGGCTTTTCTCTCTTCTAGGTTCTCCTTCAAGTCTTAACGACCTTG